ACTAACTAAATCTCTTTCATTAGAGAGAAATCGAACATTTGTTACGTTATCTGAATGACCATAAAATGTTTTATGTTCCGCCTAGAAATTATTATTGATTAAAACAACAAATTATTATGAAAACAAAAATTTCTTACTCCAGGTTCTGGACATGGAAACTTAAACAAATTAACAGCCCCATTATCGTCACCAGTAACAATTGTTGATGATACAGCATGGGCACAATTAATATGATCTTTTTTTACATCTTTTGGCCAAATACCAGTTACATCATCTCCAATCGTACTAGACAAAAGTAAAAACGAATTATTTTTATGGAACACACGTTATATAATTCGAAGAAAACTATAGTGTGTATAAGTTTTAAATCGAGGCTTTATAGCTTCATCCTTCCTACACACTTATTAATTGTAGCTAAAGATTATTGAGCATGTTTCCACAACAATCGAAGACAACAGGCACTGAACGCCTTTAACGACATCAGTTAGACTGTTCGATAAAAAAGTCTTCGTTGATATGTGAATGATTTACATAGTGCAATTTCTGAGATTTGCACCGATCAAAATTTATATTCAAGATGTTAAGAATGATGAATAGTCATGCATTCATTTGTCATTAATCGTCATATCATCAACAAAAAAGTATGAACTAATCAAGTTATAACTTTGAAAAATAATATTAGTGTTGGTAAACTTATTGAGATATATAATAGAGCGTTGAGATCTGCTTTAGATATAATGGATATGCACAACAGGCATTTTAGAATAATAATAATAATGTTGAAATTAACAAAAAATAAATATGAAAAAGATAAATAACAAGTGAATTATAACAAGACAAACAAAAAAGTGTCACATTTTAGCTCCAAATGAGTCGTGGTGGGAAGTTTTTTTTTCATCCTGAACGAAGAAGTTCTGGCATTTAACATTGTTATATCCAGAGATGTAACTGATCTGAAAATCATACCGACACTGAACTGACATGATGTCATACTATTCCATCTGTAGATAGTGATATTTAACATAGTCAAGTTTTCAATAAAACTTCATTACACATCTGTTATTAGATACTAAAAACAAAAT